AATATTAAAGTAAATTAAAAAAGGCACGGACGAATATGTCTGTGGAAAAATGTATTTAAATATAAAAAAAATAAAAAAAATAATGGGATAAAGGCAAGGCAATGATGATGATGTACAACCGTGCGAAAATGGAATGGCGGTCGCTAGTTAGCTATAAGACAAACAGTGTGAAAGATTTATACGATCGTTGCTTTGATTTAACGCGGTCAATCGACCAATCGGAGGATAATGGCGATTCGTAATTAATGATAATTAGCAGCCTTGTTTTGCATCACCGGATATCGAGTGTATTTATTGCGGATTAAATTACCTATTTACACATCGTTTAGCTTTATCTTGACTGTGCTGAGCTGTAGCCGTGACTTCGTCCGCGTGGAATTTAAGTTTATTTTTCTAAAATAAAAGTTGCCTCAGTTACTCCTTATTACCTGCCAATAAAAGTCATGTCAAAATCAGTCCAGCCATTTAGAGATATCGCGCACGTGATACCCGTGGTGTTTCAGGCTTCCATAGGCTACGATAACCATTTACCATTATATGGGCCGTATGCTTGTTTGTCACCATCGTAGTATATAAAAAGAGAGATTTTCCGGAACAAACAGACAGACAGGCAAGCAACGAACTAACGCGAACAGCAAGACACTCGCCTCTTATTCCTTTCAAAAGATATGTAAAAAAAAAAATTTAACCAGTGAATGTAACCCAGACCAGTCCCCACAAGCAGCACCCGTCGACGAGTACGACGGATAACAGTAACAAAAATGTTATATCCCTTTTTTTTTTATTATAACTTAGGGGACAAACGAGCATGCGGCTCACCTGATGGTAAGTGATTACCGCCGCCCATGAGCACCCGCAACACCAGAGAATTGCAAGTACGTTGTCGGCCTTTTAAAGGAATAAGCTCTTTTGTTGTAACCAGTTGGTTATGTATTCAATATTTTTTCTTTTTGAGTATTTAATAGAATTAGTGCTAATTGGTGGTTTGTATTCACACACTTAAACTTAAAAATGTAAAGTAATAATAAAATTATTTAAAAGAGCAACACGCAAGTTTCTTGCTCGTTCTTCTTGTGATGAGACAGCTTTCCGAACGAGCGGTAGATTAAAAAAAATGTAATGACTATTCAAAAGTGCTTCAATGTAAGTTTATTTGAATAAATGATTTTCTATTCTATTCTTATTCTATTCTTTTCTTGAAGGTTTCAATATCGTATCGGTTTGGAAATACCATTGCTGGAAGGTGATTCCACAATGTGGTTGTGCGAGACAAAAAGTTAATTTATAGAGACCAACTACCCTACAGGGTTGAGGACGTATTAAAAAAAACAAATTTTAATGAGCTGGTGACTGGTCCCAGCGGAGACCTATTTAAATACACACGTGACAAAATACGAGTTTCAAAAGATACGCCTAATTATAGCCTGAGGCTACATTGTTACTCACTATAATAATAGGTGTTGAAATACAAAGGGAAGTACGAACACACGAATAAGTCATCATTTGCATAAGAAAATAGCGAATAAATATTAGTTACATCTGCAATATAAATATTTTTTATTGAAATTAACTTATTATAAGGTAGCCTGAAAGAAATAGTTTTGCAGCTATAAACTCGCCTATTGCCTCTTAGTCTAAGAATTTTTTTATTTAAACCATGATGTGACCAGTTTTGGCGGAATATATAGAAATAAGTCCGTAAATACGTGAATAATCAAATATTCAGAAAAAAAATTTGATTTAAGTTCAGGGGAAAGAGATAAAAAAAGGTTGAAAAACGTTTTTCTTTTTAAATAACTCAATAACGCTAAGAAATATGAAAAAATATTTTAAATAAAAGTTGTAGAGAATAAAAATCTGCATAAAACAGGTCCTTTTCATTTATACATTATCTGCAATTGTTTAGCCACAAAATTATAAAACTAACTCATACTAACAGCTGAACGATCTGTAAAAGGGGAAACATTTGTATTGCGCCAAAACTGGTCACATTGTGGTGTAATTTAAAATTTTGCTGAGCTATAAATCATTATTTGCATAAGAAAACAGCGAATATATAAATGGTAGTTAGATCTGCAATATAAATAATTTTTATTGAAATTAACTTAAAATAAGATTGCCTGAAAGAAGTCGTTTTTCAGCTATAAGCTCGCCTATTGTTGCCTATATATATTGTACATATTAGTGTAAGCAAGTGTTTGATTTTTCTCTCCGGGAAAGGAAATAATTTTTCTTTCATAAGCATTTTGAATAGTCCTAAGTCGTCTCGGACAGTGGGGTTTTAGAGGAGTTTCCTCTTGCGTACATTTAGATTGTGGAATAATATGCCAGCCCAGGTACTCTCAATAGGCTATAGCATAGTTTTTTTTCAAGGTTTCATAAGGAACGCAACGCCCACGTAACTCCCCTACGGTTTCAGGCATCCAAAGGCATCGATAACCGTTAACCATAAGATTGTATTAATATTGTATTGTATTAATATTGGTACAGCCTATGCTGTAAATAATATAAATGACGTAGTGGAGTAACTTAAAACAGTCATGCTCGCTATAAAGTTCAAACTTGTGGCGGCGTGGTGGGCCGGGTCGATGTACTCCCTCTAATATGGTTGAGTGCAATGATGGTTGGCTCATCCGTCATACTCGTCAACGGGTGGTGCTAGTCTGTTCAGGTTGCAAACACTGATTAGATTTTTTTTTATGTAGCATATGCTGGTGGTCACTCTATTCTCCCAAATTTGAATTTAAATGAAATAGTATTATTGTAAATATGTACAACATTAAAAAAAAAATACGAGCTGAGTTTCTTGTCAGTTCTTCTCATCTCGAAATCATTCCGAACTGACGGTAGATTTGACATATCATAAGAGTCTGTAATAGACCTACATGAATAAAGATATTTTGAATTTGAATTTGAATTGGTCGTAAGCTTTTTGCCACAATCGTAGTACAAAAAATATATGAATTATAATATTTGCACTACATTATTGGTACTAATTGACTGGTTGTTACAGCCAGACATTACAATTTATAACGTTCATATCCGACTATTCTGCGGTTACTCGCATATGTACGAACAAATGCGCTGACAGTGCAGCTGTTTCGAATTTGTTTACTAAAATCACGAAGCTAAAATTATATTGTTATACTAGCTACGCTAGCCCTGGATTCGCACGGGTGTACATGTAATATATATATATAAACCTTACTCTTGAATCACTCTACCTATTGAAAAAACTGTTTCAAAATCCGTTGCGTAGTTTTAAAGATTTAAGCATGCATAGGCACGGATAGACAGCGACAGAGACTTTATTTTATACTAGAGCGACTTTGTTTTATACTATGTAACTAGTTACTTCCTCCGGCTTCGCACGGGTGTACATGTATTATATATATAAAACTTCCTCTTGAATCACTCTATTAAAAAAAAACCGCTTCAAAATCCGTTGCCTAGTTTTAAAGGCTTAAGTACAGGTACATAGGGACGAACAGACAGCGACAGCGACTTTGTTTAATACTATGTAACTAGCTACTTGCTACGGCTTCGAACGGATGTACATGTATTATATATATAAACCTTCCTCTTGAATCACTCTACCTATTGAAAAAACCTTTTCAAAATCCGTTGCGTACTTTTAAAGATTTAAGCATACGTAGGGACGGACAGGGACAGCGACTTTGTTTTATACTATGTCATTACATATATGATGTTGTATGATGTTGTATTCTATTTTTTTGTCTATTATATCTGCGTCATTCCGAAATAGCAACAGAGGCAATTTGGGAGGTGAGGAACGCTAGATTTCCCGCATATCGCTTTGTGGTCGACGTCCGCATACCTACGACGGAATGCTACAAGTTTCGCTATCCGCGACATTCTCTGCTTTGTGAAATATTTTTTAACAAAAAACCAAAGAACGCCGTGGCTTATTGGTTTACCATCCCGCTTTACACTCTAGTGGTCGTAAATTTGAAAGAAGTTGACACCAATAAGCATAAACGTGTTATTATGTTTTATATATGATGTAGAAAAATGATATAATAATAATAAATTCAAATTCGAAAATCATTTATTCATGTAGGACATTTTAGCCGCTTATGAACCGTCCAGTTCGGTATATAGATCCAATTAAGAAGAACTAGCAAGAAACTCAATTGAATTACTTTTTTTTTAATAATAACAGCATGCGCTCATACGTACGCACACATACACACACACACACACATACACACACACACATACAAGCACACACCCACACACACTGCACTTACTTGGTTTCGGCCCGTAAGTGTGGAAAGAAAACAAGCAAAAGCTAAGATAGTGAGACGATGCTAAGAATAATAATAATAATTAATAATAAATTCTTGACCTACTCAAACAATATCATCACACAGCACAACCTCTCCCACACTTGGCTAAGGCCCGTGTAAGTGAGTATTACCTTCTTTTTTGTAATAATAATAATAATAATAAAAAGAGAAAATATCTCGACCTGGCTCACGAGGTGACCGAAATGTGGGGGGTGATGTTCACCGCACACGTTATACACACACACACACACACTCCCGGGAAAGATGCAGAAAGCGGTACACACACACACATTAGCCTCACATTCGCACACACCCACACACACTCCTGGTGTCTTCGCACTTCACTCACCGTTCCGAGGATTTGTTTTCGTTGTTCGGCCACTGCCGTAAGTGTGGATTACGTGAGAAAAGCCCCGACAGAGGGGCTGTCTGTAGCATCAATTTTGAATAAGTGTTTGTTTAAGGAACAATGGCCCGTTATTGTCCCTATCATTATTTTGAGGTTTTGTCTATCTAGATTAAGTAGACGTGTTGTTATCCGATGGTTCGTTTTTGGAATTGCCACTTTAGAATAATCAATAATCTCTGGCGAATTAATAAATAAATTCCTTCTCGCTAGACGTCCGCGGCGTCATTGCCATATGATCAAACTGGATAATTACTCCGTTATGCGTTGCAATTTTTTCACACTGTTCTGTAGTGCTTTAAGCACGGCTGCACTGTCCGATATGAATTTAATGTTGAAATTGTTGACCCCTAACCTGTATACAGCTTTTGCTGCCTCGGTCAGGGCACACGAACTGTGTTTGCCGAGCGGTAAGTTCATGTTGAGGTCAAGGGAATGTGCCGCTCCTGTTCTGTGTTTTGGAGCCATCTGTGTAGATGTAGTTCATTTACTGCAGATTGGTCCCTTTCCTCCTCCTTCAATTGTATTTGGTATTTCCTGTTAAACGAGTGGTATGCTTGAGTTCTGTCACACGGAGCGGCAATCAAAGGTTCATATTCGATTGCTTGGTTCAGGATGGTTGTGTGAGAACTGTAATGGTTTTTGCCCCATAGACCAAGATGGTATAATCTTGTGGCATAATGTATAGGTCATAATAATAATTGTTGGGGTTGTTTTCATAATCCAGTAACTGAGAAAAGTCTTTGGAAAGATCTTAGTTTGTTGACTGTGGTCGTAAGTTTCGACCTTGTCCACGATATACCAGCATTGGTCTTATTACTGATGTGTATAGCCAGAGAGTTATTTTTGGGGAGACACCCCATTTATGCATTTTCCTGCATTGATAGAATGCAATTGTGCTTTTGTTAATTTTGTGATCAAGGTGTTTATTCCAGAGAAGTTTGCTGTCTAGTATGACTCCCAAGTACTTGACGTCCTCCTTAAGTTTAAGCTCTGTATTAAAGAGTTTCGGTAAATTGAAAGTACCTGGAGCTCTTTTGTTGGTGAACATGATGAGTTCTGTTTTAGAAGGATTCACGGAGAGTTCATGGTTTTCGCACCATCTCTCTATTGTTCTGAAGGCTTCTCTCATGCAATCGCATAAGGTTCCCTCAAAATTTCCTGATATAAGTACGGCAATGTCGTCTGCGTAACCTACCGTGTAGAGGTCGTTGTCGTTGAGCTCCTCAATGAGTTCATTAACAACTAAGTTCCACAGGAGTGGCGACAGGACCCCTCCTTGTGGACATCCTCTACTTACGATCCCAAAGGTAGTGTTTACAGTGAACTGGATTGCACGGTTTTTCAGCATGTTGTTTATCCATTCTATGAGAGTTGTTGGTACTCCATGTATGGCAAGAGCGCGACTGATACTGGTAAAGTTCGTTTTATCAAAGGCCCCTTCGATGTCTATGAAGGCACCTAGGGTAGGCTGCTTTGAGTTTAGCGAGTTACCAATGCGACTTACGACGCTGTGGAGTGCTGATTCCGTTGATTTGCCTTCACTGTAGGCGTGTTGGTTGGTGTGCAGTGGTTTGTTTATACATATCAGGTCTCTGATCTCTTTGTCGCAAAGCCTCTCCATTGTTTTTAGTAAAAACGATGTGAGACTAATTGGTCGAAAGGACTTGGCCTGTGTGTAGTCACCTCTGCCAGGTTTCGGAATGAAAATTACTTTCACTTCACGCCATTTCAAAGGTATGTATCGGTGAGCTAGGCATGCCCGGAAAAGTTGAACCAAGTGTTCAGCTATTATGTCACCGCTCCATTTCAGGAGAGCCGGAAAAATACCGTCTAGTCCTGCAGCTTTGAAAGGTAGAAATGTGTTGATTGCCCATGTAAGTCTTTCTCTGTTTATTGCTTGCTATATCCCAGTCCGAGCTGCTGGTTGTCCTACTTTCCTGGGAATTCCATGAGTGGTCATTGTCCGCAAGGAATCCTGGGAAGTGAGTTGACAGTAGTAGTTCGCAGGTTTCTGTGTATCTCCAAATAATAAAAATAATAATAATAACCCCTTGACAATTAACACAACGTCACCTAGTTCTAAGCTAAGCAGAGCTTGTGTTATGGATACTGGACAAACTTAATCTACACATATAAACAAAATTGGAGTGTCTGTTTGTAATATTGAAATAACCGTTTTTAACTACATGCATATGAATATAAATACGGTACATACACCAAAATAACATTTTTTACAATATTGGTATTTTTTTTTTACAATCTAATTTTATAGATTACTAGCTACTCGCCCCGGCTTCGCACATACATACAAACCTTCCACTTGAATCACTCTATCTATTAAAAAAACTGCATCGAAATCCGTTGCGTAGTTTTAAAGATTTAAGCATACATAGGGACAGCGACAGCGACTTTGTTTTATACTATGTAATGATAATACATATCATGATAGATGAGACTTCTGATGAAAAAAACGTACTCAATTCAACCCACAATCCATGTATGAACTATCGAGTATCATTACTGTTGAAAGTTGAAAATTTCAAACACTGAATTCAGTTGCAGATTGGCGTTCCTCAGTCGATACAAGAACACTATCGGGAGATATTTAGCTTTTGATAGTGTACACTGCAGTTGTCTGAGCGCCAGACCACTACAAGATGCAAAGTGGGTTAGCACGAGCACATCAAGTGGCAACTCATTAGCATTGCAAACGGGGCTCGGGGTACTCCACTAAGTTGGTATACACAAATGATAGTGAGTGGAGACTGTGACGCGTGATATATGTATGTATTGTGTACATATGTTTGTGGAAGTATTCAGTTCGATTCATAAGATAACGTACAATAAATGAGAATGTAATTGTTCAGTTTGAAAGAGACTGAGACATATTCAAATTCAAATTCAAAATCATTTATTCATGTAGGACATTTTAGCCGCTTATGAACGTCAAAGTTTTACATTTTAATTTTTTCCCTACCGTTCAGTTCTATACATAGACTGACAAAGATCCAGTTGAGAAGAAGCAGAAGAGACTCAATTGAATTAATTAAAAAAAAAACATTTTATTTACAATGTATATTTATATAGGTGTCTATGTCTAACATTAAATTAAAATCCCGTGCATGAACAACTATTGCCATGCACGCTCGTCATTCAAGTAATCGTTTAGTTTTGCTCAGTAAATATGATTTAACAGATGTTTTGAATTAGTAATTAGGTAATTCCAATATATTCTTTGGTATCTTATTCTATTTTTATATATATTCCCATAAAAGATCTGTATACTATTTATAAATATATTAGCTTATATATTTATACATATATTTTAGGGGTGGAATTTATCAAAATCCTTTCTTAGCGGATGCTTACGTCATAACATCATCCTGCATGCCAAATTTCAGCCCGATCCGTCCAGTGGTTTGGGCTGTGCGTTGATAGATCACTATGGCAGCCACCTTTGGGTTATATATATTTAGATATTGTATATATTTAATCAAATTGTGTGCTATTTTGCGAAAGTCCATTTCACTACTTGATGGCTTTAAATTATTTGCTTAATTCCGCTACAATTAGCATGTGTGAGACCACAAATATTTATGGAAACTTGACTACCGGTCGTAACCTTCTCTAATGGCGATCCGACCGTTATTGAGCAAGTGATTCTTCCAATGATAGAAATAAGTTTATGTCACGGTTTGATCACCTAACTGTCAAAACCAGGCTTCCAAGCTATATCCAAACTCAATAAATCGAGTTGACCCTGATCAAGCCTCGTTTAGACGCAAAACAAGTGTCGCATTTCAATATGGCAGTAGATCTGATATTGGAATTTGATCACAAATAGGGAAGGTCATGACTCATGACGCTTCCAGTAGCGGTGGTCATGCTAATGGTAGAAGAGATAAACAAAATGATATAAATACAAAAAATAATGAAAATGACGGCAAAATAGTACCTGTTAGAACTGAAGTTAGACTGAGTCACTTTTCGGCAGCAAAGTTGTTACAGTTGAAGTAAAAGGCAGTTGTGGTTATAAACGAATTATTTAACTTTACGGGCACATATTACAAAGCACTTAGTACAGATTGGTAATGGATTTCAGAACAAGCAGTAGTATTGCCATATAAAAAGTTGACTTATCGCAAATTGGTAATGATTACCGAAAGAAACAGTATAGAGCAAGAGCCCACGACGGCCAGAGGTAAGAACGATCCCCAAACATGAAACCTGGATCGTGATTCCTTTACCAAAAGGTGTAAAAAAAATCATATCAAATTCGTTATTTTAAAAAACTCCATATTTTCATATATTGTTCGTAGCATTATTATAACTTGCGCTGCTCATTGCCAGACACTTAGTGTGGTTCCAAACCCCCGCCGGACGCCCCTAAACTATACTATTTTAGAAATAAACTTACGTCATTTTAATAAAGCTGAACTTTATATATATTATTGAGAGAACTATTAAACTGAGTTTCCTAAATTGCCAGACAGTTTTCTTGGTTCCTTATCCTACCAGACTCATTGAAACCGTATATTGGGTAAAATATGGAGTTCCTTAAAGTAACGATTTTGATATGAAATTTTTTACACCTTTATTACCTGTTACCTACCAAAGGAACCACGATCCAGGTTTCATGTTTGGGGATCGTTCTTATCTGTGTTGGGGACACACATACAAGAACTTTCACGTTTACTAAAATGACGTATGTCTGGCAGTCGTGGGCTCTTAGGCTAGTAGTATTGCCATATAAAATGTGGCCATATTCAATTGTTACACCAAAATAGATAAAAAGGCTTTCGGAAGAAGCAATAGCAGTAGTATTGCCATAGGTGTATATGGAAAAAAGTTGCCGCACTGAATGTTTCTAGTCAGAGGTGGTCAACATGCTAATGGTAGAAGAAAAAACAAAATAATATTGATTCAATATAACAGTTGTGATTTTAAATGAATTATTTAACTTTATGGGCGTATGTGCCCAAGTATAAGGCTCTTATTGTACATTGGTAATGGCTTTCAAACGAAACAGTAGTGTTGCCATATATGGAAAACAGTTGCCACCTTCATTTGTTGAAAAACAAGTGAGTGAGTGAGTGAGTGGGCTACTATCGCACACCTCTTACTTAAATCTATTCAAGAGCAACGCACAAGTTTCTTGCTCATTCTTCTCGTAATGAATCTGCATTCCGAATGAGTGGTAGAATCAAAATATGATTATTCAAAAGTGCGGGCATTGAGTTTTTTGAATAAAGATTATATCTATTTCTAATACCTAAATCGATAAAAATATACAGAGTTTTTGAAGTAAAATCATCTGAAGAAGATGTAGTACCTATAAAGAAATGCAAGGACTTTCAGTGGCTATATATTATTCCATTAAAGAGACCTCACAAACACGACACATCTCATTTGCTGCGCATGGCACTCGTGATTCCAGACACGTTCCGTAAACAAGGGGAAATGATAGAAATATTAATTTACGCACACTTCGCCAGATTCTGACGAGCGGGAAGATATTGTTCTCATAATTATAATACAGTTCTTCGTGCTCTAGTAGTTTATCAACATGATTTGGCTTACAAAAGTCGTGGGTTCGAATTTGAATGTCCAAAACTTGGAGTGCAATTTGCATTTCTGGTATTGTCATGCTGGGTAGACGGTTTGTTTTGTTTCATTTTATTCGTATGTTGTTATGATTAATAGAAGTTGTAACTTGCCATTACAACATAGGGGAAGGAAATTGTTAGTAATATGGACTTTTACCTGCATTGCATACATATTAAGTCACTTAGTATCACAACAAAGTCGCTGTCGCTGTCTGTCCCTATGTATGCTTAAATCTTTAAATCTACGCAACGGATTTTGAAGCGGTTTTTTAATAGATAGAGTGATTCAAGAGGAAGGTTTACATGTATAATACTTCACTTAGTATCTTTACATAGTTTAAAACAAAGTCGCTGTCGCTGTCTGTCCCTATGTATGCTTAAATCTTTAAAACTATGCAACGGATTTTGAAGCGGTTATTTTAATAGATAGAGTGATTCAAGAGGAAGGTTTATATGTATAATACTTCACTTAGTATCATTACATAGTTTAAAACAAAGTCGCTGTCGCTGTCCGTCCCTATGTATGCTTAAATCTTTAAAACTACGCAATGGATTTTGAAGCGGTTTTTTAATAGATAGAGTGATTCAAGAGGAAGGTTTATATGTATAATACTTCACTTAGTATCATTACATAGTTTAAAACAAAGTCGCTGTCGCTGTCTGTCCGTCCCTATGTATGCTTAAATCTTTAAAACTACGCAATGGATTTTGAAGCGGTTTTTAATAGATAGAGTGATTCAAGAGGAAGGTTTATATATATAATACATTAGTATCTTTACACAGTTTAAAACAAAGTCGCTGTCGCAGTCTGTTATGTATGCTTAATATATAAAACTATGCAACGGATTTTGAAGCGGTTATTTTAATAGGCGTGATTCAAGAGGAAGGTTTATATGTGGATAATACATGACACCCCATTGTTAGCTAATATATAAAGTACATTCATAGGGGAAAGGCGATTGGTAGTATGTGTGGATTGACCCATGGTTAGCAAAGTACAAATTGGTCTTTGGCG